GGAGGGGAAGTGGCGAGGTTATGTGGTAGGGTTTTTCCCAGAATGGCTCTCACCTCTCAGAAGGCGAGGTGACATCAAAGTCCTACAGTCATGAACTAAGACCTTGTTCTGCTAGTCCTTCGCTCCGACCAGTCTCTCACTAGCTAAATACACGTTTCTGGCCCTGGCTGCTTCATTATTTCACCACAAGTTTTAGGGAGGCACACTCTTCCCCCGAGGCTGCCTCAGCTTGGAGCGAGGGACAAGGAGGATTTGGGATACTCACGAGCGTTGCTGTGCGTCACCAGGAATACAGTGATGAGGGGTAGCAGGAGCACCATCAGTCCCTCAAAGGCCCTCTTTCCGGACTCTCCTAACTCAAACACTGACAGGTCTGCGTTGAGCCTTTCCAGAACCTACACTCCACCCACCCAGTAACGTAGTCATACCCTGGGCCCTCTTCCAATAAGAACAGGGGGAAATAAGTGTCATCAGTTGCTAAGCTGAACAGAGAGACAAAATGAGAAGGTGAATGCACTGCTGCCTTCCACGGTAACTTTCAACCCTTTGTTGGGCTCAAGTACTGTGTGTGTGTGTGTGTGTGTGTGTGTGTGTGTGTGTGTGAGCGCGCACTTACCTTGTCCCTTCTCCCAACTTACAAGTATTTGTAGAGCGCAGTTATATGCAAGGCGCAGGAAACTCAAAGATTACTAATACCAGTCCCTCAGGAGCTAGACTAGCTGCCCCTGTTTCCTCCTTGGGCCTTAGATTTTGCCTAATGGCCAGTGAGAAAGATTCATACGAAGTTCCCAGGACTCACTTCCTATAGTGCTGTAGTGCCCGTGTGATCTGCATGGCCACGTATCCATATCTGCGCAGCAGTCCGTACCTTCCATCAGTGGATACACACGTCCTCAGATTGTGCTGCGCTTTTTAGGTCTGTATTTCCTGCTGCTCCAGCACTCGAACACACTGAGCTAAACCAAACAAAATAAAATGAAACAAAAAGTTTTTGAACAAGGGAAGAAAGAAGAACGCTTAAGAAAAGATTCTGAGAGGTAGCCACTTGGTCAGTCTAATCATCCGTAGATAAAGCCCCAGGATCAGGCTGTGGCTATGCTGTCAGCGGGAGCCATGCCAAGCTGGAAATCATGTCGAAGCTTGTTCGAGCGGCTGGTGAGCACAGGGTCAGGAAAAAGGAAGGAGAGACGAACAAGCTGAGCAGAGGCCAGGCAGGCAAACTTAACTTGGGGTCGGGGACTTAAGATTGCACTCTAACTACTTGACCTTGGGCAGAATCCCAAACGGAGCTATTGAACTATTGTGCAACAAAGAACTTGGTTTGGCCTTTGTCTCTGGCTTCTGAAAATAACCCTCTGGAAATCTCCAGAAATCAAGGAGCCCTTTTGTTTTCTAGAACAACCAGACAACAGTGAAACGTGTGTAAATGAGGAGGGGCTAGACAGGCTCAGACCTGGCAGCAAACCTCAGAGAGAGGCGTGATAGAGTCCACCAAACATATGTAGATTCTAACCTTATTTTACTGTGTTGTTCACTGTCGAGAATACACAAAGCAAAAATAAACATCATGTAGGTTTCTACAAATACAATTCCGTGAGACTGATTATATTCCGGGAGTTGTCCCTCCAGCCTCACCCTCCTCTTCTGAGTCATTCCTTCTTGGTAGCTTAAACCCACTGCCCCGATGCTGCCCATCGAATGCTCGGAGGTGCCACTGGCCACTGAACCCATTTGCATAGCTCTTGAAAAGAGGATACTACTCAAGGCAGATATCCTTTACTAGCGCTTTAGGCTAAAACAGAGACCCAGCTCTCAAATGTAATTTAAGGAGAACGTTTATTAAGTCTGCAACAGGACAAAGAT